ACACATTGGGAAGATTTTTACAGGCAATATGAACAGGAAATGAGGACTCAATTTCTGAAATCTATCACTAAGGGGCCGCGTCTTGACTTTCCTGCATTCGAGGGCGACAACCCAGGAGGGTGGATTCGCCAATGTGAAAAATTCTTCCAAATGGCAGGCACCCCATCTGAATACAAGGTTAACTTGGCGCAGATGCACATTACAGGCAAGGCTGATGTATGTTCAGGCGTTCAGGGCTCTTAGCAAAAAAAAACCAAAATGGTCACAGTTTTGTACTGAAATACAACACAGATTTTCTTCTTCCAGTTCTTATGATCTTCCAGATAAGTTCAATTCCCTCAAGCAAAATACCTTGACTGTTGTTGAATATACAGAACAATTCGAGGAGCTTATGGCAGATGTCCAACAAGAGAACTCACACATTTCAGAGAGCTGGTTTGTACGCTGCTATGTCAATGGATTAAGATCACAGATCAAATTTCAACTAAGACCTCTCAGACCAGTGACATTGACTGATGCCTACTGGTTAGCAATTGACATGGAGCAAGGAGCACCTGTGAAGAAGCATTATCAATGATACACTTCTTCCTCAAAGACCACTACTGTTTTCCCTAAACAGCCCAGCAATCTTCCTGATAAACCTGCTGATTTTAAAGCACCTGCTGTTACTCAAAGAGCAAGAGAACCAGGAAAGTGTTGGAGATGTGGAGATCATTGGTTCCATGGGCATAAATGCAAACAAGCCCCTGTCATAAATGTTCTTACAGGTGAAATACCCACTGAAACCCCTGTTGAACAAGAAGAAATTGAGGAACAGGAACAAGAGGAACAACTTGCAGGAGAAGAACAGTGCATGAGGATTTCTCTGCAAGCTATGCAAGCAGATAGTGTTAATACTATCTCAATTGTTGTGACTGTAGGAGGCAAACAAGCAATTGCTTTGGTAGATTCTGGTAGCAATTCTACATTTATGAGTTTACAATTTGCTCTCCAAACTTCTTGCACAATCATCAAGGATAAGACAAGGGCTGTCACTGTAGCTGGGGGTGGAACTCTCTGGTCTGGCTCTTACATACCTACTACTATCATTACTGTTGATAAAACACCGTTCGAGCAGCAATTTAGAGTGCTTGACCTCCCTGGACATGATATAGTCCTTGGTTTTGATTGGATGGCCCAGCACAGCCCTGTGGCTTTTTCTTATGATCCCAGACAATTAATCATCCATCATAACAAAACCACTCCAGTGACAATTCCAGCTTGTGAAACCTTGTCTGCAACTCAAGAAATTGATGCTCTGGAACTCAACAGACTGTTACTTAATGGAGCCCCTGCATTTGTCGTACAACTGGCAGAGGACACATCCTTCCTACCCAGCAAAGACATCACTCCCCCTCCAGAAATTCAAGAAGTACTGCAGTCTATTCCTGAGGTGTTTCAAGAGCCAACAGAATTACCACCTGTTAGGGAACTAGATCATGAGATACCACTAAAGCCTGACTCAGTTCCTCCTAATACAAGGCCATACAGAGTACCACACCGGCAGAAAAATGAGATGGAAAAGCAAATACATCAGTTATTACAGTCCAAAATCATTAGGGAAAGCCAGAGTCCCTACTCTTCTCCAGCAATCTTAGTTATGAAGAAAGATGGGTCATGGAGAATGTGCATTGATTACAGGAAATTAAATGCAGCCACGATTAAAAACAAGTTTCCAATTCCTATCATAGAGGATTTGCTGGATGAACTCCATGGAGCCAAGATTTTCTCCAAGCTGGACCTCAAATCTGGGTACCATCAAATCAGGATGAATGAAAAAGATACCCCTAAAACTGCCTTCCGGACCTACTTTGGGCACTATGAATTTCTAGTTATGCCCTTTGGTCTCACAAATGCTCCAGGCACCTTTCAAGCACTCATGAACAAAATTTTTGGACCTTATCTAAGGAAGTTCATCTTGGTGTTTTTTGATGATATTCTCATCTTCAGTAGAACTCCAGAAGAACATAAGGAACATCTTAGAATTGTATTGCAGCTGCTGAAGCAACATCAGCTGTATGCCAACCTGTCTAAGTGTGTTTTTGCAGTTCCTCAAGTTGCATATCTTGGCCATATAATTTCTGGTAATGGAGTTTCAACTGACCCCTCCAAAGTGGCAGCAATTGAAGATTGGCCAACTCCATCAACTCCCACTCAATTAAGAGGATTTCTGGGTCTGTGTGGTTATTACAGAAAATTTGTGAAGAATTTTGGTAGTATCGCCAGGCCATTGCACAATATTCTAAAGAAAGATAGCTTCTTTTGGACCCAGGAACAAACACAAGCCTTTCAAACTCTAAAAAAGGCACTCATCTCTGCCCCGGTATTGGCCCTCCCAGATTTTTCCTCACCATTTGTTCTGGAGATAGATGCTTCAGGCACTGGGCTGGGAGCAGTTATGATGCAGCAAAGACAACCTATAGCTTATTATAGCTCTGTTCTCTGTTCTAAGAATGCTGCACTTTCCACATATGAGAAGGAAGCATTGACCATTATGGAAGCTTTGAAAAGATGGAGGCACTACTTCTTGGGAAATGATTTGATCATTAGGACTGACCACCAGAGCTTGCAATTCATGACAGATCAAAAGCTTTCCACAAGCATCCAACATAAACTCATGCTGAAATTACTTGAGTTCAACTACCACATGGAATATAAAAAGGGCAAAGAAAACATAGTGGCTGATGCCCTTTCTAGAAAGCACTCCTGCTTGGCTATTTCTTTAGCAACACCACAGTGGATAAACAGAGGCTGAGAATTCCTACAATGAAGATCCTCACTGTCAGAAATTGTTGGAACAACTCCTCCTATCCTCATCTCACATTGTCAACAGGAACTCTCTGCATAATGGTATCATCAGACATAATGGGAAAATTTATGTAGGAAGATGTAATGAGCTGAGAAAGAAAATAATGCATGCCTTGCATTCCTCTGCTGTTGGGGGCCATTCGGGCATGAAAGCATCCTACCAGAGATTAAAACAAGTGTTTTATTGGCCTGGCATGAAGAGAGATTTGGATAATTTCGTCCTACTTTGCCCTGTTTGTCAGAAGAACAAGGGACAGAACTGCCCATACCCTGGTTTTCTAGATCCTCTTCACATTCCAGATATGGTTTGGACACATGTCAGCATGGACTTCATAGAAGGTCTTCCCAAATCTAATGGTCACGATGTCATCTTTGTGGTGGTGGACATGCTCTCCAAATGTGCTCATTTCATACCCTTGTCCCACCCTTACACGGTTCCGACTGTTGCCAGAGCGTTCATCGACAATGTCCTGAAGTTGCATGGACCACCACTGGCCATTGTCTCTGATCGAGACCGCATCTTCACGAGCAAGCTATGGCAAGATATATTTCGTGCTATGGGAATTGAGCTCAGGTACAGTTCCTCTTACCATCCTCAGTCCGATGGACAAACCGAGCGTGTCAACCAATGCATCGAAAACTACTTAAGGTGCATGACATCTCTGGGACCAAAGAAATGGGGACTGCACTTGTCCATGGCCGAGTACTGGTACAATACATCTTTCCACTCATCCTTGAAGAATACACCATTCGAAGCACTCTATGGTTATCCTCCTCCTGATCTGCAGCTTCCACGGGCACTTACTAGTAACACCACTGAAGCTGCTGAATTCTTCATAGACAAGACTGTTATGTGGCAACAACTCAAAACTAATTTAGCAAATGCTCAAGCACGCATGAAGAAATATGATGACCTCAAACGGGTGGAGAGACAGTTGGAGATTGGAGATATGGTGTATTTGAAAATGCAGCCGTACAGACTGAATGCATTCGGCGCCAAGTCTCACATTAAGTTACAGAGTAAATTCTACTGTCCATTTCGAGTGATCGCTAAAGTGGGTGCTGTGGCCTACAAACTGCTGCTACCAGATGATGCTGCCATTCATCCGGTTTTCCACGTTAGTCAGCTCAAGAAACATCTGGGGCCGTTGGCAATTCCCTGTGCAGATCTTCCTTTGGTTGGCCCTGATGGTCGCGTGCGCACTGAACCAAGTCTGGTTCTTGAAACTCGCCAAATTCCTCGCAATAATTTACCAGTGGTCCAGTGGTTAGTCCAATGGGAAAATTTACCCCCTGAAGACGCGTCATGGGAAGATGCTGATTTCATCAAGAAGACGTTTCCGGCCTTCTTCAAGCAAACGACTGCCGGGTGGTTCAATCGACAAGCTTCTTGAGGACAAGTTCGCTCTTAGGGGGGAGTACTGTCAGCTCACTGCGTATCTTCAGTTACAAGTGTTGCTTCATTCAGTTAACAGACGTCTCAGATGGAAGAAGGCGAGAAGATCGGATGGCTCACAGGCTCGCCATCCCTGAAGCGTTACTTACTGTTCTGTAGCATTATTGTTTATTGTTCTGTTGCCAGCTGAGCTATATAAGCCAGCGCCCTCGGTTGTAAACCCATGCCATTTGCTATGATCAAGAATCCCAAATACTTTACAACTAATACAATATATTCCTCTTGATACCCTATTCTCTCGTTCCTGGACGAACCCTAGCCTCGTTTTCCCCAAATCTCGATCTCGATTCCCTTTGGGGTACGACACCGACCGTCTGATTTGGCGGTCAGGACACGCTAACGTGCCGCGATGCGCCGCGCCGCGCCGCGTAACAGCCCCGTTCCCTCGCCGCGATCTTTTCATATACCGGCTCCGCAAGAATATTCTTTTTTTTAAGCTACCCCGCAAGAATATTCGGCATCGAACTCGAGATGATCTCTTATTGGGGCGAAAACTACATACACGGGCTTTTCACGCCGGGCCGTGGCCTAGAATGGATCTAAGAAGCTTCCAGAATTCCCGGCCCAGCTCACGCGGCAGCGAGGAGAGCCACTGGCGTCTGAGTGGCACGTCCTCTGCTTAAACGGCCTCTTCATATTCGGGAACCCTATCTATCTGGAGGCTACCTAATCCCCTCCCCGCCTGACAACCGCGGCCATGGCGTGCGCCTTCTCCGCCTCCACCGTGTCCACGGCCGCCGCGCTCGTCGCGTCCCCGAAGCCAGCCGGGGCGCCGCAGTGCCTATCGTTTCCCCGCGCCGCCGCCAGGCCCTCCCGCCTCGCCGCCGCCGGCTCGAGGACGGCCAGGGCCCGCAGCTTCGTCGCCCGCGCCGCAGCCGAGGTTTGTTGCGCCTTGATTCGGTATTTGTTTTTGCCATGGTACGTCTGTGAATGGAATTTTCACGTGTGTATGCGTCTCTGTCCGCAGTACGACCTGCCGCTGGTGGGGAACAAGGCGCCGGACTTCGCGGCGGAGGCCGTGTTCGACCAGGAGTTCATCCACGTAAGCCCGTAGCCAACTGCATTGTCCGTGCGCGTTTGTTTACCAATTCGCTTACACGAGCAAAACTGTGCTCTACCCGGTTGATAATTCAGATTTTGGTGCACGATTTATTAACGCTGCAGCTGTATGTTTGGTCGGGGGTGTGATGTTTTTGATGGTGTCCTTTTGGTGTAACTACATACAGGTCAAGCTATCTGATTACATTGGGAAGAAGTATGTGATTCTTTTCTTCTACCCTCTGGACTTCACCTTCGTCTGCCCAACTGGTGCGTTAACCATCTTGCGCCCCGTGAAGGAAAACTATTCATTTCTGTCTGTCATTTCTAAACTGCATACATGCAAATTTTGCAGAGATTACGGCTTTCAGCGACAGACATGAGGAGTTTGAGAAGATAAACACTGAAATTCTTGGTGTTTCAGTTGATAGTGTGGTATGTTACTTCCCATCCATCTGGACACATAGCTGCTCTCTTGATACTATTCGTCTAGCTCTGACATGCATTAAGTGCCTTATCTAGAAATTAATTGTAAAGTATTCATCTGTTTGTGTCAATGAATACCAATGTTCAGGACATCGCCTAACTGGCACCATATTGGTCGGGTGCTGAGTAGGGATAAATAGGCGAATTTTCCAGTTAATCGGCCAATAAATCAGTTAATCAGCTATTCGGTGACCCACACTATCAACTGAAACACCAAGTTTGGATTGTGTCAATGAATGCATGTTCTTTCTTCATGTGAAAATTGAATCTGGGCACGTTTGGAGCATAAGAGTTAACATTGCAGTCTCACAATGTTGGAGCTTTGTTATATCATTTGGATGCAGGGATGCAACATAAATTATGCCTTATGCGAATACGGTACTAAATAATGATCCGTATTAATCAGATAAATGGATCTATATTTTTTATTCCACGTGCTAAATATGCTCACTAACTCCATTGAGGATGAATGTAGGTCTATTGAGGATGAACATAATAGTTAACATTGCAGTGGTACAGTGCTGGAGTTTTGTTATATCTTTTGGATGAACATATGCAATGTAAATTATGCCTTGTGTGAATATGAGAGTAAAGAATGATCTGTATTAATCAGATAAATGGATCTAGATTTTTGCATTCCGTGTGCCAAATATGCTCACTAACTCCATTGAAGATGAACATAAGAGTTAACATTGCAGTGGTACAATGATGGAGCTTTTCTTTTGGATGAATATATGCGATGTAAATTATGCCTTGTGCGAATAGGAGAGTGATGAATGATCTGTATTGATCAGATAAATGGATCTAGTTTTTTGTATTCCACGTGTTAGATATGCACACTAACTCCATTGAGGATGATTTAGGGCTAAAACATTTATTTTCTTGTATCCCTTCTGCTTATAAAGTGCACCGTTGTAACCTATACCCAGAAAACTAGTGGCTGGTGCGCAAACAGTATTGCTACCCTGTCCTTTTCGTTTTGATCTGGTTTTGCATCAAGCATCTCATTTTATAGCATTATGGTCATTAGTCTCTTTAATTATTCTATGAAGTGATAAGTAACTGTGACATATATTAATCGATTTCACCTAGTAACTTCACACTTGAAATGCTTTCTGCTTGCAGTTTTCCCATCTTGCATGGGTGCAGACAGAGAGGAAATCTGGTGGACTTGGTGATCTTAAGTATCCGCTGGTTTCTGATGTCACCAAATCAATCTCAAAGTCTTTTGGTGTATTGATCCCTGATCAGGTATTACTGACGTTTGTTTTTGACCACCTGCTAGTTTCATATGAACTGCTCATTGCTCCTGGATATTTTGCTTTTATTATGCCTTTCCTTGTTTGTTGTGAAGTTTTATAAGGTTCTTGAATGTTATTTTTTACCAGGGAATTGCTCTGAGAGGATTATTCATCATTGACAAGGAGGGTGTGATTCAGCATTCCACTATTAACAACCTTGGTATTGGCCGCAGTGTGGATGAGACCTTGAGAACCCTTCAGGTAGAATAACAAGAGAAAAAAGAACCCTCTTAAATAAAGTGCATTTTCACGACATTTCTTTAATTTTGATATAGTACCTGACAGAGTAAGGATGCATGCCAATTTCTGCTTTTTAATTGTTATTTAATACTCCCTCAGTACCAAAAATAAGTGACGTGGTTTTAGTTCAGTAGTATTGATCTAGTGTTTAACACAACAAAGCACGTACCTGGTAGCTATTAATGCAAACTGTAATATTTGATAGAAAAGGCGATACAAGTTTGTATAACCTGATAAACATTTTTCTTCATTGACAGGCTCTGCAATACGTCCAAGAAAACCCAGACGAGGTCTGCCCGGCAGGATGGAAACCTGGGGAAAAGTCGATGAAGCCTGACCCTAAGGGCAGCAAGGAGTACTTCGCTGCCATCTAGACGCGTCCTTTGCACTCGCTGTCGAGTTTTGTCATGGCCGTTTCTCGGTTACATGTGTTTTTGTGACCCGAGTTGTAGTTATCACGCGTACAATTGACTCTGTAATTTCTACAATAAGGGTTTGTCTGTGTGTGGATCTTCCCTGCTCCAATTTGGAAAGAACAATACAAGATTGGAAATAAAATCTTATCTTATGTCAGCCAATGGCTTTATTTGGAATTGATCATGGTCTGTTACAAATTTTGTTGCTGTGAAGCTAATTGGAGTAGTAAAATTGAAATGTTAATGCTACCACTACCTCCGACCCATTAAAAGTGTTGCAGTTTTGAACTAACCCCAGTTCAAAACTAGTTGAAAATTGTGACACTTATTTTGGGTCAGAGGGAATAGGTTTTTTCTTGAGATTTTTTTTTTGTGCTCTTAGTGGTGGACATGCTCATCGCTTTCTGTCAGCTCCTGAGCCCGGCCCAGCAAGCCTGATGGGAAGGTGGTAACATTCAGCCCAAATGACTTACTCCGTAAGTATCATGCCCCTTCCATCTGTTTCCATCGCAAAGCTAAACGGTGATGAATCTTGTTGTTTCTCTTGCGTGTAGAATACATAGTGGTGGGAAATGTTAGTTACTCATCATGGTGGTGGACATGCTCATTGCTTTCTGTCAGCCCCAGAGCCCGGCCCAGCAAGCCTGATGGGAAGGTGCTAACATGTAGCCCAAATAACTTGCTGTAAGTATCATGCCCCTTTTATCTGTTTCTATCATAAAGCTAAATGGTCATGAATCTTCTTGGTTCTCTTGCGTGTAGAATACATCCATCTGGATGGCCTTTACTTTTCGATCAAGCTCGTTCTTATATGCATCTGCCTCTTGTTTGTGGGGGGCCTGGGGCAAAAAGAAGGAAAATGAAAAAAAAATGGAGCTCCAAAAGCGCAAAGTGGTGGGCTGGAAGCGGTTGCTGTCGCTGAATTTATGCAGCTCCAAAACCATCTTCTATATTTTGTTCAAGGTACTCTCTTCACCAACTTTTCATGCATAGCAGCCTTTAAAGCAAGCTGAATAATGCATATGGTGTTCTTGTCTCAGAGTAAATCAGCTAATAGCTCAGTAATACGCCTCTTGGGAGGGAAAAAGGAGCATGACAGGTGCTATCTATCCACCATCTTATATACATATCTTACTTATAATTGCACTGGCAGAAGCACAGGTGGCCTTTCTCCATTACCTTGTAGAGGTAGCATAGTGGCTCTGCGGCAGCTTCTGCTCCCATTAGCAGCGCGCCAGAGGTATGAAAATGCGGAAGCTTTCCTGCAGATAATGCCACTTATGCACTTTTTTAGCATCCACTCTAGCTCCACTTTAAAAAGCTGCCTGCGGCAACACAGTGCTTAGTGCTTGTTTAATCCCTGGGCACACCAAACTGCCCCTTTGCCATGAAAGATCTAAACAGCAGCCTAGCTAACCGCTGCCTCCATTAAGTAGCTATACTAGTACGTAGTAGACAGAGAAAGAAAAAGAAAAGAAAAGATCAAAAGAAGGGCATGCAGTGATTAGGGTTTCTTTTCTGCTTTTGTCTTTGTGTTTTCTTTTACAGTAGTAGTATTTGCTGCTCTTCTCGATCTCTGCTCGAGTCGTTTCTCAAACTGCGTATATACTTTTCTCCCTTGAAGCGCTCCTTTTGGGGCGAATGGCTTTGTGATGATTAGGGCTTGGCCCTTTTGCTTCCCTTTTGGGTCATATGTGACCAAAGATTTCTTTGACTGTGACCACTACTAGCTCAGATTAGTTTGAACACATCATACTGTGCACACACCACACTACTACACGGCAATGCCAGAATCCTAGAAAGAAGCTCATAGCTTGCTCTCCTCAGGTACTAGGAGCTTAGGAGAAGATATAACTAACTGGTAAATAGGTTTGTCTGGTACATGCGGTTGTGAACAGAAATTCACAAGCGCATTGCAGCGATGAAACTTAGATGGGATTGTGATTGATGATTGAATGATAGGATTTCTCTTGGGCCGGCGGCGTGAGCGGGAAGTCATGCGTTTCTGATCCTTTTGTTATGGACGGCTGATCACTCGGCCCCTTTTCGCTCTTCGTATCCCCATAAAGAACATTGTCCGCGCACGACTTTTGATGCAAATGCACACAGTAATGACCGGTCAATGATGCTGTTAACCTGGCTTTGTTACATGCTTTGGCTTTTCCCTGACAGTTAATTCTGCTCCTAGTGGCGCTAGCGTACGTACCATTGCAAACCACTTGAACACTCCTGCTTCTAGGAGTTCTCCCTGGCTACGTACTAATTGTTTGTACTTTGAAGGCGTTTGCAACTCAAACATCACTAGAAATACATGCATGCTGTTATTATTAGGTCATTGTTAGATCTCACATGAACATAGCATACATACATATATATTCTCTGCACTCTAGCTTATAGCTAGCCTATAGGGAGGCACATTTCGATCGGCACTGAAACCAGAGAACTAGTAGTACTAATCTGGAGCTGATCAACGAGCTCGTCAATCCCTGATGCGTCTAGCAACGCAGCCTGCTTTCAAGGGAGCAGGAATGCCGAAAAGCCCCAGCTTTGCTGAACACCATGTGGCTGTTTTATGCGCCACTTTTTTGAGTCGTGTTTTATGTGCCACTGGCCTGGCCTACTGCTGCCACTGGTAATTTTTGCCACGCCATGCCATGCATATACTCCTCCACACCCACATACACACACCGATCATATGGGCGTAGAGGGGAGTCGGAGTGCATGCGCTTTATTCCTTATACTTTGAGTCTGGGGAGAAAGAGGCCGTACACAGTTCCCGATTCTTTTAGGGCACAGAGATCTCTCCCCGGAAAAAGAAAACCAATTTGAACGGGGGCCCTCTCAAAAGATGAGAGGTCACTGCAGGCAGGCCACATCCGATCGATCGTATCGATCACATAAAGCATCACATGTTGTATCGTCATCATTGCTGCATCGATCAGACACATTCTCTCTTCTTAATGCGATCAACTGTATCACTATACGACCGGGGAGTATATATCAAATAAAGGTGTATGGACACCGTACTAGCACTGTGCATTTCAGGCATATTCTTTTATGTATTTTGTTCTAGTTTGTCGCTTTGGGCTATTTTTTTTTCTCGCCTACACATAACTTTGGCTTGTATGACTTTGCTAGTTGCAGACGTGTTTTCGTTTGTGTATATGTTGGCTGTGTGCATCCTAGTTACGCGGAGATCGGATGTGTGCTCATTGAGTTTTGTATCCTCCTGATGCTTCATTTTGAGCTAATAAAGTTCACTCTTTATCAAAAAAAGGAAGTTGAATTTGTTAGCTTAACCGGAGACGGGACGTTCCCCACTAAACGAACATCATCGAAAAGCTTGAAATAAATTCAGGATAATGCGAGCACCAGTGCCAAGTCTAGTATTTGAACCCTAGTGGACTTGCTTCACCATAAGGAACCTAACCATTTGAGCTATGCTCGTTCGCATTTGTTACTAATTGTTGGTACTACAGTAATGTTTTGTGAAGATATGTTATATGGGGTTTGCACGTATATGGTAGCTGTTGGGGAACGCAGTAATTTTAAATTTTTTCCTACGTACACGCAAGATCATGATGATGCATAGCAACAAGAGGGAAGAGTGTTGTCCACGTACCCTCGTAGACCGTAAGCGGAAGCGTTATGACAACACGGTTGATGTAGTCGTACGTCTTCACGATCGACCGATGCTAGTACCGAAGTTACGACACCTCCGCGATCTGCACACGTTCGGCTCGATGACGTCCCACGAACTCACGATCCAACAGAGTGTCGAGGGAGAGCTTCGTCAGCACGATGACGTGATGACGGTGATGATGATGCTATCGAAACAGGCCTTCGCCTAAGTACCGCTATGATATGACCGGGGTGGATTATGGTGGAGGGGGGCACCGCACACGGCTAAGAGATCAATGATTAACTTGTGTTTCTATGGGGTGCCCCCTCCCTCGTATATAAAGGAGTGAAGGACGGGGAGGGCCGGCCCTCCTATGGCGCGCCCCATGGGGAGTCCTACTCCCATCGGGAGTAGGATTGCCCCCATCCCTACTTGGACTGGGAGTGGAAGGAAGGGGGGGGGGCGCCTCCACCCAATTCGGATTGGGCTTGAGGGGGGCGCGCCCCCTCCTAGGCCTCCCTCTCTTCTCTCCCACTATGGCCCAATAAGGTCCATATACCTTCCGGGGGTTCCGGTAACCTCCCGGTGCTTCGGTATATGCCTGAACTCACTCGGAACCATTCCGATGTCCAAATATAGTCATCCAATATATCGATCTTTATGTCTCGACCATTTTGAGACTCCTCATCATGTCCGTGATCATATCCGGGACTCCGAACTACCTTATGTACATAAAAAACACATAAACTCATAATACGGATCGTCACCGAACGTTAAGCGTGCGGACCCTACGGGTTCGAGAACTATGTAGACAAGACCGAGGCACGTCTCCGGTCAATAACCAATAGCGGAACCTGGATGCTCATATTGGTTCCTACATATTCTACAAAGATCTTTATCGGTCAAACCGCATAAAAACATACATTATTCCCTTTGTCATCGGTATGTTACTTGCCCGAGATTCGATCGTCGGTATCTCAATACCTAGTTCAATCTCGTTACCGGCAAGTCTCTTTACTCGTTCCGTAATGCTACATCCCGTAACTAACTCATTAGCTACATTGATTGCAAGGCTTATATTGATGTGCATTACCGAGAGGGCCCAGAGATACCTCTCCGATAATCGGAGTGACAAATCCTAATCTCGATCTATGCCAACTCAACAAACACCATCGGAGACACCTGTAGAGCACCTTTATAATCACCCAGTTATGTTGTGACGTTTGGTAGCACACAAAGTGTTCCTCTGGTATTCGGGAGTTGCATGATCTCATAGTCATAAGAACATGTATAAGTTATGGAGAAAGCAATAGCAACAAACTAAACGATCATCTCT